ATAGTAAACGGTTCTGTCACTATAAAAAAAGTTGATTTGAAAATGCATGGTAGCACAGTTTTTATGGCAAAGGATTGTTCAAATCAGAAAAAAAGTAAATATTGATACCTTCTTATCTGAATTTTCACTAGATTTTGATATGACCACCCCGAAAAATCTCGAATACAATACATCATAAAATCTAAATAAACAAACCCTAAAGGATTAATCAATAATTCTATACCTCAGTGACGAGGAAATATTTTGGTCTTCTCTTTTTTCTTAATTTTTTAATTTCCCTTAAACATTACCTCCTCCAACAAATAATTTCATCTTTCTCTATGAGCGCAGATTTTCTATCGTTCTTCTCTCAAACTAAGTCTAATTCATGTAAAGTTTTCCACAATTTGTCTCTTTTAACGTTTGGCAAAGTTTCAACTCCATTAATATCTACTAAAAGTTTATCCAAAGTAGGTATCTTCTGTAAATCTTTTGTAAATAAAACGAATGCACTTTTCTTCGGATCAGTTATTTCATGTATCGTCTATTTGAATCGGTTTTCTCCTAGTTGACTTTTTAGGTGGTACTGTAATGCTTTCATCCTCTCGTGGCTTCAAAAGTCTGTAAATGGTTGCTTCTCCAACTCCGGTCATATTTGAACACTTAGAAACTATACTCCGAACAGTACTATTGAAATGTTAATGTACAAGAGCGTCATGTACATTTAACACTAAAGTTTTCAAATGCACGGTTAAATTGTACTTTAATTTCACAGGAGTATAATTAGACGTTTGTGCCATTTTTATTGCACAAATTCACTTGATCAATATCACAATCACAAACAGAAATGTAAATATTAACTAAAATAATTTACAATCTGTATAACAGTTTTTACCAGAGATAACCAGGAGATGTAACTACTAACAAATATCGTGCGGCCGTGAATAAGACATATTCTAAGGGACACAGTAGGACATAATATCCGCTGTTGTCATTGTTAGTAAAGTGTATGTATTAAAATATTCGCTCAAGAAAACGATTCACCTCCCACTCTTTTGTCACAAGGCTGAATTTTTCACAGATAAAAGGTCATGATAAGATAACCCTTATTCCGGAGTTAATACAAAATTAGAGTGTGCAGAAGGGCATTATCATCAAAAATTCAGATATTGATACCACCGAATAGAGAAAAAAATACTCATTTTTTGATCAAATGCACAATAAAATCTTTGTAGGGAGTAATTGTTCATACTTATTTAAAAAAAATCATTTGCATTAGCACTTACGGCTGAAAAAAAATATAAACGTAAATATCTTGGTTTTAGCCCTTCAAAAATTTAGTTAAAAAGTCGTCTTTTTTAAATATACCACTCATTTAACAAAAAACGAAGGCCTAAATGAAAAAAAAAACATTCCTTATAAAATTTTTGGTTATGTGTTGACAAGGTAACAGAGTAAACACCATATTTTTTGCTTTTGAATTAACAAAGATATAACAATAAACGATGAGAGATGTCATAGGTTTATGCTGTTATTAATTCTCACCGCCAAATTTATCAACTCTCAGTGTATCTTTCTCTTCACCTTCAAACGTAGCATAGCTCTGTTTCTCTCTACGTGCCGGCTGATGTATCACATTATTGATATGGTAGGATTTTTCATTTTTTTTATTATAAAACTTCTCGTTATGTTCCATTGGGCAATGTGTCATATTGTTATCTGTTTTTACTAAAGAATTAATAAGTGTATGTGTTATATATTAAATTACCTAATAAATTGGGAAAAAATATAGACATTTTTGCATCTTTATTATATCTACATTCATCCTGTTGCAGCTGAATATATTTGGGTAAGTCATAAGTTTTGGTTTAAAATTTTAATTACGGATTTGTTGCTACAAGTAGCAAAGACAAAAATTATATCAAAATAGGAAAGCTCAAAAGTTGCATATCATTTAAAGAATATGCTCATATATTTGTAAACATTATTTTTAGAAATAAATTTAATGCTCAAATGATAGATGTGGTATTTGATCATTATAAAGGACATTCTATCAAAAATACAACACGTCAAAAGAGAGGATTTCAGAAATCAATTGATATAGAAATTGACCGACCCAATATTCTACTTCCGCAACAATAGAACTTGTTTATTCATTTGATATTTAACAAAAGACGTTTAACACATTTTCTGCCAGAGCAACTTCTTCAAAACTCGCAATAATCAATAAATATGGAAAGATTTTAAACCATCAAAAGACGATTTTTTAAATTCAAATCACGAAGACGCTAATAATCGTATCTTATTGCACATATTGTCAGCCAAAAATTCGGGGCATTCACGCTGCATTATTTATTGCAACGATACAGATGTCTTATTAATTTATTTTAAGAAGTTTTTGACTAAAGATATATGGTTCAGAACAGGGCGAGGAGACTCAAGACGATTTCTAGCAGTACATTATTTAAATTTGGATGAAAACCTTCTAAAAAATGTGCCTGCTTTTCATTCTCTGACCGGTTGTGATACAACCAGCTAATTGTCCAGCATTGGGAAAAGAACCTGTTGGAAAACTTTAACACCATTACTTTTTGGATGGATTTGGCATTGATCAGTACTCTGAAAACATATTCTCTAATCTTGAAAGAATTTTCATAAAAATTTATTCAAAACTGCCAATGTTACTTCCATTAACATTTTGGGGGGATTATTGGCCTCTTCAAAAACCATCGCTAAATTGCCACCGACTGAAGACGCCCTAAGACTACATTGTTTAAGATGTTTTTACCAGCTAAATATTTGGCTAACCTCTTTAAACCCAGATGCAGCTTCCTAATGTTGAAGAGTATGGATGGAAAGTAGATCAAGATGGAAGTCTGATACCCACTTTTAAGACTCTGTCCGACCTGCCACCAGACATAACAGAACTTACATCATGCAAATGCAAAAAGATACTATACAATATTCTAACAATAATATTCTGTTTTAGACTGTGGAAGCAAAATTTGCAAATGCAGAAAAAAAATATTTGCTGTATCGGTTCCTGCACCTGTATGGCACAGCCGCTAATGTTTTGGAAAATGTTGATTCGTGTGGTGAATCTGATTCTGATTAGTTTGAAAGTCGTGTAATTATAAATTTTAATATTATTAATTTATGCTTTATATACTTCCTTCCAATTATTATTGTTATTATAATTTATTTATATTGGGGATTTATTGTATTTTGCAAAGCAATAGCCTTACTGTTTATAATTGATACTTCAATAAATACCTTTAATAAATAGTTTATATTTTCTTATTTTTCATTTTCCACCAAAAATAAAAAAAAATCTTGAAGTAATTAATACACCCTATTATTCATAGTGGAAAAATCAATAATCCCTGTATAAAATAATGTTAGAGATTCAAACTGATTGCATACATTTCAATACTGAGATAGATGCATAAAGAGTCGAGAGGCTCTGCCTTTAATGTTTGCTTGTTGTTGTTAATTGTTTATTGCTATATTTTTGTTAATTTAAAAGCAAAAAATATGACGAAAGTACTTTTACCTTGTCAATATATAGGCGAAACTTTTATAAAGAATAGTTGTTTTTCATTTATGCCTTCGTTTTTCGTCAAATGAGAAGTATATTTCTAAAAGAACATTTTTTATACAAATTTGTAGACGGTTGAAACCGAGATATTGACGTTTAAATTTTTTTTTCGACCATAAGGGCTAATGTAAATGATTTTAAATAATTATAAAAAAAATACTTTCTACAAAGACCTAATTGAGCATTAGAACAAAAAATAGCCATTTTTAACCAAATTAGATGTAATTTCATTAAATTAGATGTAATAATTTTCAACAAATTCCAAAACCTAGAGATGTTAAATTGGAAGTGGCAACAGGGCTTACACCGGCATGGAAATTTACGTTATGTAGTATAAGCTCGGGCAGTTATTCATTGATAAAACTACGTAAAATCCTTCACTCTATCCCTTCTCTTACTTCTCACCTTTCGTCGCCTCGCCCCGCGTCTAGAAATAGAATATATACAGTACTAACTATTGTTGGCACCATGAATATTATATTTTATGAATGACTGCTTATATCTCTGTTATCTCTGGCTCCTACCCTACACCTTTCTGTCCGCGATGTGGTGTCCACTATTTAGCAGGAGTGAACTACACTCGACATGTGTATAAGGAATAAGGAGGAAGTAAATCAGGTAAATAAGGTGGTGTAATTTACACTGCACCAACAGCGAACGAAAGAACCTATGGTATAGAATAGGTTCGTTTCTGCCCTTGTTGCATAAAATAGAACGGTATAAATTATCATGCAATAATTCGTTTATTGGCGAATAGCAGTTCTTTGACAACTTTTTTGAACATGTTTCTATTCAATGACTTTATCGTCTGTGGTAATTTACTATACATTTTTATTCCCTGATAAGTCACACACATTTCATATTTTTTTAATTTATGCATCGGAACACTCAATAAATCACCATTGCGCGTTTGGTAATAAATGAAAATGACCATTTTTACTGAAACTTTTCTTAAATAAATAATAGAGATGTATAAATGTAAATGACACTAAATGTGTGAAAAACTTAAAATTTTGGATTTTCTGAATGTTTTTATGTTTCACGTAAGTTAATATTAATACCAAATATAATAAATTATTATGATTCGTTTTTGTGCTATAATCATTATGTTGCTACTTACAGAATTACCCTATATTGTATGAAAGGCGACTGTAGACTAATACATATTTATTAATTAAGATAGACGCATAATTTTCTTAATTCGAGGTAAAATATGCCTATTTTGTTTTCTGCATCCAAAAATTACCTAGGAACAGTTATAAAATCGTAGACAGTTACCAGAATGTCTGTTGGGCTGTGTGACAATATCAAAAAAAAATCAAATTGACTTTTAATATGTTCTATTTGACAGTTTGACGTAATTGTTAAAATTTTGTATGTTATTTAAATATTATTTTAGGTAGTCAGTCTCTTCCGCGTAATCGTAAAAACACCAACCTCAACTTAAACGAGATTTTTTGAAAGAATATTTCCCCGTATGTAAATTACCTATTTAGCATTAAGCAGATTCTGAATTTGATTTACCGAAGGTAACTCTTATTTTGCTGAATTGTTGTTATTTTTATTGTGTAATGACATATATCGTTTAAATATACACACAGATTCGCTCATGTGTTCATGTTCAGTTGCCAGCCTTGGAAGTTGTACTTGGTATATTAACAAGCGTTTTAAGCATTTTTAATTCACGTCGATCCCTTAATGAAAATGGCAGTGAGTGTTGTATTTTATAAAAAAAATGCATTTTCTATGGATTGGTTTTGTTTGCAGGTCAGATGTAGTCGTGGATATTTATTAGGATTGTGCTTACTCAACATTCTTAAATTCTCAGGTATGTTTTAATTATTTAAATAGTTAATCTACTACTAAGTATATAATAATATTCAAAACAAAATTCGATTGGTATTTAAACAAAATTTTGCACCGCGGATGTAGAGTTAAACATTATTTTTACTTTGTTTTAATTCAGACTCCTTATTTTTTAGTATATTTTATTTCCTACTTTTACACGGGTAGCTAATTTTTCGTTAAAAAAAATAGCTTTTTTTCCATTTTAATGCGTTGATTTTTTTTTTGACTTTGCCCACTTGAACTATGCTGTTCACAATAAAAAAATTAAATGTCGACGCTACAATAAAATAACCTGTTTACAAGATCACATAAAAACAGTCTTAATTAAAAATAAGTGGATAACCATCGAGCTTGAACACCCAGTTGTTTACTGTTTCACTAAATTAATAATTTTTATGAAAATATTTGAATTTTAAAATTTTTATTTACACTGTATTTATAGATATCAATTTTAATAATATGTTATATTTTATTCATTATTCACAAACCTATTAACTATTCTTTAGGATGCAGTTCTGAAGCACTCTTTCAAACCATCTTTTCTCAGCCTTTCTTCTTCTTTTTACCAATTGATCTTTAATACATAAAAAATATTCTTTTTTTCCTGTCTATCTAATGTCAAAAAAGCCATTATATCATTTGTGGTTTTATCTATTATGCGCTTATAGGCTCTGTTCCTACTATATAGAAACTAGTTCCTTTTTTCTGTCATTTTACCTTCATCAATACCTACGTCTCAGCAGTTTTCTCTCCCACCTTTCCAATTCTTTCTCTATGTTTTATTTTAATACATTTTTTGATTTCATCACTGATTTCATTATTCCCTATTTTTATTTTCTTATCATATAATCTTAGCTCTTCTATCTATCTGAAATAGAGCTTGTTTCAAATCCCACTCATAGTGAGGCTCTAAATTTATTGTAACACTCTTAGTTTCTACCAAATAAGGTTGATGTATTCAAGAATATATCTGATGGGGCTTTCGATATCCATAAAAGAAATTTAGGTGTCTTCTAAGGCTGTAGTGTCCCATAAAGAGCCCTAATATGGTCTTCAGTTCTTTTCTGCTAATGTTTAGCTGAATCCAGGAAGTTCTAACTAGAGCTTATGGTTTTCTCTATTTATCAGTTCCATTAATAACCATGTTGACTTAATATACAATATGTGGGCTCGGGTCCACTTAGTGTTTTCCCAACTTCCTTTCTAGCTAGGAGGTGTACTTTCTCGTTCCAGCACCCATTCAAGAGTGACCTTATTAAATTCTGTCAAGGCCTGGAAAGACTGTTGTCCATCCAGTATTAATTTGGATTGCAATTAGGGTTGCCACCTGTCCTTTTTTGAAAAGGACAGTCCTTTTTTCAAGCAAAATGTCCTTGCGACTTTTTAAAGCTTAAAATGTCCTTTTTTACGGCGTATGTCCTGTTTTACTGTTAATATTTTTGAAAGGGACCTGGCTTGTAGAAAAATATACAAGCAGAGGAGCTTTTTTTATTTTTTTAGAAGTTCGATAGAAGAACGAGGACTTTTTCTGTTACAAGCTCGGCGATCTTTTTTTTTTAAAGTTCAGAAGTTCAGTAGAAGGATGAGGACCTTTTGTATACGCGATCAGCATCATTGTTATTTCTTCACTTTTCAAAAAGGTGGCAACCCTAATTGCAATTCTACCCTTTTCAGTGCTTTAAGGGCTATCTGGCTGTCTGGCTGTCAGGCTGTCTGGCTGTCTGGCTGTCTGGCTGTCTGGCTGTCTGGCTGTCTGGCTGTCTGGCTGTCTGGCTGTCTGGCTGTCTGGCTGTCTGGCTGTCTGGCTGTCTGGCTGTCTGGCTGTCTGGCTGTCTGGCTGTCTGGCTGTCTGGCTGTCTGGCTGTCTGGCTGTCTGGCTGTCTGGCTGTCTGGCTGTCTGGCTGTCTGGCTGTCTGGCTGTCTGGCTGTCTGGCTGTCTGGCTGTCTGGCTGTCTGGCTGTCTGGCTGTCTGGCTGTCTGGCTGTCTGGCTGTCTGGCTGTCTGGCTGTCTGGCTGTCTGGCTGTCTGGCTGTCTGGCTGTCTGGCTGTCTGGCTGTCTGGCTGTCTGGCTGTCTGGCTGTCTGGCTGTCTGGCTGTCTGGCTGTCTGGCTGTCTGGCTGTCTGGCTGTCTGGCTGTCTGGCTGTCTGGCTGTCTGGCTGTCTGGCTGTCTGGCTGTCTGGCTGTCTGGCTGTCTGGCTGTCTGGCTGTCTGGCTGTCTGGCTGTCTGGCTGTCTGGCTGTCTGGCTGTCTGGCTGTCTGGCTGTCTGGCTGTCTGGCTGTCTGGCTGTCTGGCTGTCTGGCTGTCTGGCTGTCTGGCTGTCTGGCTGTCTGGCTGTCTGGCTGTCTGGCTGTCTGGCTGTCTGGCTGTCTGGCTGTCTGGCTGTCTGGCTGTCTGGCTGTCTGGCTGTCTGGCTGTCTGGCTGTCTGGCTGTCTGGCTGTCTGGCTGTCTGGCTGTCTGGCTGTCTGGCTGTCTGGCTGTCTGGCTGTCTGGCTGTCTGGCTGTCTGGCTGTCTGGCTGTCTGGCTGTCTGGCTGTCTGGCTGTCTGGCTGTCTGGCTGTCTGGCTGTCTGGCTGTCTGGCTGTCTGGCTGTCTGGCTGTCTGGCTGTCTGGCTGTCTGGCTGTCTGGCTGTCTGGCTGTCTGGCTGTCTGGCTGTCTGGCTGTCTGGCTGTCTGGCTGTCTGGCTGTCTGGCTGTCTGGCTGTCTGGCTGTCTGGCTGTCTGGCTGTCTGGCTGTCTGGCTGTCTGGCTGTCTGGCTGTCTGGCTGTCTGGCTGTCTGGCTGTCTGGCTGTCTGGCTGTCTGGCTGTCTGGCTGTCTGGCTGTCTGGCTGTCTGGCTGTCTGGCTGTCTGGCTGTCTGGCTGTCTGACTGTTTGTCTGTCATTATAAAGATATGAGCACAGGCATTTATTGCTGTTGCTTTGGCCTGGAAGTGACTCCAGGTTAATACCAATGGTCTACATGGAAAATTCCAACTCTTATATTGTCAGCCCTTAATTCTGACTTAAATGACAATAATGACAATAATTGATAATATTGTTTGCAAAGAGGAGAAGCAAATTTATTAATTTTTATTTTTAGAAAAGTAATCTTTCAATAAGTTTCAACAGATGTTTATTAAAGCGTTAGTATAGTGTCAATAACAGTAGTTTCAAATAAAAACAAAATTCTTTAAATCAAACCTTCACGAATATAAAATAATATCAATAAACAATCTAATGAAATATGGAAAATTTTTAAATAATTTAAAAATCAAAACTACCGGTTGTGTTTAAAAAATTGTTAGGACATTGACTCTTAATAAGTGAGAGAGATATGTATATATTTATATTTAATATACAATGCAGAACCAAATTCATTTGCTGCTATGTGATCACATTTTCCAAGAGGACATATCAATTGTTAAATCTGTTAATTAAAAATAACTAGCTATAAAAATTATAAACCATGAATTTAAATAAAAGTATACACGATAAGCATAGAAACAACAAGTTATCGACATTATTAGCCTTTATCTGGACACTCTGTAGACTGACGTTCAAGGTGAAACAATTTCCACATAATAATTTTAATAAAAAGTATCCGGATTTTATTAGATGATGTGAAATGATGTGAAACTTTCAAGTTTTGCATATTTATGTAGGTAATAATTATCCTATTTAGTAAATTTGTTTTATATACAGGATGGCGCAAAAAGAATAAATTTATTGACTTCTGGAAAAAATTCTGGGTCGTCGATTTTTATTTTCAAACGCTGGTTCTTTCAGATATTCATTTTATAAGTGTTTTCTGTGTTGATGCTTTTTTAAATGGAAATATGGTTCATGCAATACATCATTTGAAGGGTCTTTTAATTACCTATCCAACTATATTAATAGTTTTAAGTAATTGAAGTTTGCAAACTGTCAAAAATTTATAAACTTACAATAGACAACTTTTCAAGATATAATTTTTGTCTCCCTGTAAATATCAAAAAGTAATTTATACGAAATTTGGTATAGGCCGTCAGTTGAAAGAAAATGTTAGTTTGTTGCTTTTTTTCCAATAATGGGGTTTTTATCAAGATTGCTATGGTGGAGACAAGACAAGACAAGAAAAGAACTTTTAGCTATTGTTAAAGCCCTCGACCACTTCCACACTTACCTTTTTAACAGAAGTGACCATAGCGCCTTGCAGTGGCTGATGAATTTTAAAAAACCTGAAGGACAAGTTGCTAGATGGATAGAGAGACTGCAACAATACAACTTCGAGATAGTGCATCGAAGGGGACGTCTCCATAGCAACGCAGACATTCTTTCCAGGCGACCGCGTTTAGATCGACAATGCCGGTACTGTGAAAGGCTTGAAGAACGAGAGGCGCTGGTTGAAGAAGTTAGTCTTTAGGCGACCACTATCAAGCCAGAGGATGACGAAAACGGAATTACCCTTGAAAGCCTAAAAAAGACTCAAAAGAAAGACAATGACTTGAAGGTTGTCCGAGAATGGCTCAAAAATGGAGTCAGACCTACATGGCAAGAGGTAGCCAAATATAGTGACATCGTTAAAGGGTACTGGACTCAGTGGGATTCCCTATATTCTCACGATGGCCTTTTGCACCGGAAGTGGGAGAGCCTCGATGGAGAACATGTAGTCCGCCAAGTGATACTGTCGAAATCGAAGGTCAGAAGTGTGTTGGAGGAGCTTCATAGCAGCCGTTCAGGACACTTTGGTACTAAAAGGACACTTGCACGAGTTTGGGAAAGATTTTATTGGATCAATTGCCGACGGGATGTAGAAGATTAGTGTAAGGAATGTGACTTTTGTAATGGCAGAAAAGGGCCCAAAACACTAGAATACTGAAATATATTAAAGACTATAAAAAATAACATCTGTCAACAAATAAAATAAACAGTCAACACATTAGACACACCTTAGGCTATCTTTGGAAAAGGACAAAGCCCAAACAATTTGCAAAAACATATTTTTATTTTTGAGAATTTCTAGTTTATTAATTTCTTCAAAATGTATGTATTTTAAATTAACAATGCAGTGTTTAATTATAGTCTATGTAATTTATTAATTAATTAATAATAAGTATCTTGGATTGTCTAGGATTTTTTATAAAAAAAATATTTTAATTGGCGTTTACCTCATCGTTGAAAATGGTTATTAAATGAATAAATATCGTGAAAATAATGAAAGACAGTTATTAGTTGCGGGGACAGAGGAATCTTGATAGTAGTGATCAAACAATATTTCATTCTAAGGTTTGTTTATTTTTAATCGGTTGAAAGCACCCAAAACTTGTAAATAGATACTTATATAATACAATAACATAATTGGTAGACAATTCCACTCACATATTAAAAGCACCATTTGCTACACAAAAATCGTAGTTTGCTGTCGGCTAAATGCTAAATGAAGGAACATAAATGCAAATGGATCAAAATAACGGATAAATTTTGTTACCATGGTAACGATTTGCATTTGTTATTTATTTATTTATTTATTTATAACGTCAGTTTGAAACTTTTAAATGTCAAATAGGTATAGATTTTATATTTAAAAAAGGAAGTAATTATTCAGTAATTCAGTAAATATTGATTTGATGTGGTACAGATATTGATGGAATTGGGGCTTTAAAATAAAAAATATATACTTAATACATTAAATAATAATACACCTATATTTGCTGTTTGTCTAAAAAAATAATTTTAATTTGGCACCAAGCGTGTTAAAAATTATTGTTAAAATTACATGTAAATCAAATTACAAATCCTGAAGCTATAACTTAAGATAATTGTTGTTATTATTGTTATTTATTTTAGCACCTGTTCCTCTACTAGACAACGAAAATTTTGATTTTGAAGACACGTGGAACTTCAAAATTGCACCACACAGCATTCCTCTTTTGGAAAGTCCTAAAGAAAACCATATATTGCCAGTTGTCTATGAAACTGACGAAGTAAGATTTAAAATAAATATTTAATAATAGTTTTGAGACCGTGCCCAAATTCGTTTTATAATAAATCTTGTTATAATTGTTTTCTGGGAAACAATGTATATCCCCTCTAAGTACCTTCGTTTGAAAACCACCTAAAACTTTTATAGTAAACATTATGTATAAGATAAAGAAAAATATAGAATAGGCAGAGATTAGCTAATTACCTAATTATATTCATTTATTTCAGATATTAAAGGTGGAACCCCTAGATGCCGCTGAAGAAGAAATAGTTGGTGCTAACAGACTGCCAAAAAAAATTCATGATGTCATTAGAACCAAAATTCCATGCGGAGTTTGCAAACTGGGTAAACCAATTTTATATATATTTTACTGAGTGTTGTAGTCATCTGAATAATGGATATATTATGCAATAGTTGTAGATAATAGTTATGCTAACGCCCGGAGGGCGACAGGATGCAGCTAGATGATCTTTGTCCCGAGCGATGGATGTCGCCTGATGCGTTTAACTATTTAATAACCAAAGCAAGTGGAAACTAAATATATGTATTAATAGAGATATATTTTTATATTTAATAGGTGTGGGTTTGCTACAAAGTCACCTTAAAAATGGAGATTCCATGGAAGAAATTAAGATTAAGATTGTAGCGTTATGTGTCACTCTTAAAATAGAAACCGAAGCTGTCTGTACCGGATTTGTCGATGTCTTTGGTCCTGAATTGGTTCCAGCTTACAATACGTCCAATTTGGGTAATATTTATGATCTAAACTATATTTTAAAATAAAAATATATATAAAATATTTTGCAGAGCCGTCGAAAACATGTAGCATGATTTTTGGAGAAAGTTGTGGTTCAGTTAGCAATGAAATACACGAATGGGACATAGAGACACCAGAAAATCATTTGCAGGCAATAGAGGAAAAATTTCCGAAGGTAAAGGATGTATAGTTTAAACAATGCTTGTATTGAAGTGAATACTAAATTGCGTTGGGTATGCAGAAGAAAAAACGATATAGACAAAGTGCGAACGCCTTTTATAATTTTCAGTTCAACACAAGCAGTTCCGAAGGTTTCAAATCTGTAGGTTCGCTGGGGAGCTAAAAGGGGTCCATCAATCTAGGAACATGTACAATGGGCCTAGTTAGGCCTAAGTGCCATGGGTCAACTCACCCTCCATTCTTTACAGATACAGAAATAGAGTCCCGAAGGTTCGATCTTGCAAGCCCTCTCAATACTTGTTTTCTAATTTATTGCAGCATTGTTTGTTGTAGCATTTTTATTGTTTCACACTTCACTACCAAATAGTACGAAAGCGTAGAAGTAAGTCTAAGTGCCATCCAGAAATAGTAAGAATGGTTCTATGAATTTGCTCCAAAAATCTTCCGTATGTACATCCTCTTCGTGTACAGTCGGTACCAAAGTTAAACCTCAATTTTGTCGAATTTCTGTTGAATTTATTAAAGCTACCAATCTTTTGACTTTAAAGTTCCTTTACGTAGTTCCTCTTCTAATCGATATTTACTAAAGATTATTGACGAGTACTCAAGATTTTATCTTGATTTTCCGTGCTTAAATATTTCTACTGCAACTGTAATACTTAAACATGTGTCATCATTGGTTTCTATTTTTTGAATGCCTGATTACATATACTCATTTACATATGTCTAAGAAACTAAAATTTTTCATAGCTTAGAAGTTGTACTACTGCTTATAACCATAAAGGAAAGGGACAGATTGAGCGAGAAGACAATTAAATTTGCACTACTTGATAAAGGTTTAAGAATATCTCAATGGAACATATTTTTGTAAGAAGAATAATTTCACTCTACTAAACAGTTATTTTGTATTAGTATAAATGCAACTACTCACGACAGAATATTTGTACATAATAGAAATTCAACAATCTTTACCTACATGAACATCGACGACAGGTCCAGTTCTAGTTAAAAGTCTCAATCGAGCTAGCAATTGTGAGTCTAATGTGAAACAAGCTTATATAATCGAAGTTAATAAATAAACGTATCTAATCGTTATCTAGCTTCTTATGGAACATCTATTGAATTCGCTACCATTAAATCAGATGAGCGAGATAACGATTAGATACGGTTATTTATTTTCCACCATTCATCCGCACGTGAAAATAATTAGCTTCGATTAGTTCAGCTTGTTTAACTATAGTACTGAAATGTCTACCCTTAAATCAAAGGTGTCCACACTCAGACTACTTACCTAAATTGTTATTGCTATTACTTTCGGTCTAATGCATTTATATAGATCAATAAAGGCTAGTTATTTTAAATGTTCTCATGACAATGAGTGCAGTACTTCTTATAGAACTATTTCCCATTGAGGTATTCGAAAACCTATATCAAGTAGTGACAAATCAATTGTCTTCCAAATAGTGCTATTTTCCCGTTTCCTATGCAGTAGAACGAATAGTAGTTAATGGTAAACATAAGCAAGTTTTGTTAACTTCACCAATCCTGGTGCGATCCTGGGATAGTATACAGCATGTGTCAAGGATAATTTCGACTTTAAAGTCTATATTTCGACTTTAATCTTGAAATGCCCACTTCAAATTCAAAATTTCGAGTTTAAAGTCGAAATGGCTGGTTTAAAGTCGGAATTTTAACTATTATATTTAACAAATGTGGCCTTCATACAATAGTGGTAATTCTATCTTACTAATAAACATTGTTTCTAGGTAGAGGTTCCTACGTTTAAAGTTCTTCACTTATCTGACACTCATCTTGATCCAGACTATGCAGAGGGTTCACCAACAAATTGTGAAGAACCCTTATGCTGTCGTAATTATAGTACGCCATCTACAAATGAAACTATAATTCCCGCAGGACGGTATGTACCTAAGAATAAAGATATCTTAAAAATATTATTGAATATTTAGAAAAGTGGTTATTGTCACTCCTTTAATATTCTAGAATTGTGACAGTAACCTCTAGATCTGAGCTCTAAAAGTACTGTCAATGTTACCGAATAATATATGTAAACTTCTTTCAGGTGGGGTTCTTATAATAAATGTGATTCCCCAAGAATATTAATTGAGAATATGTTAAAATTTATATCCTTAGAACATCCGGTAAGTTTAATTTAAAAGTAAAATACAACTTTGCTTTTGTTTCAACCACACAGATTAATAAAAAATAATCCTCCACAGCAGAGGCTTTAGTTCATTATCCTAATATTTCTTCCCCTATAATTCTTTTTAAGTTCTTAATCTGAACATAAAATTGCAGTTGCTGGAGTGAAAACTTTATATTTTTCAAAACTTGAATCAAAGGCAAAGACGAGAAGGTACATACAAATATTACAATAAGTTGCCAATAACTAACTTGTCACTTTCATTGTAAAGTCGATTACATAACTATTCTTTCTCGTAGGATATAGATTACATAATCTGGACAGGTGATCTTCCGCCTCACGATATCTGGAATCAAACCCAACAAAGCAATTTGGATATTATTAAAGAGAGTGTTGAACAAATGTTACGCTACTTCCCCAATATTCCAATATTTCCAGCTGTTGGTAACCATGAATCAGTTCCAGCAGGAAGGTAAGGAGATATATTTAAGCCTACATAATGTAGGCTATCCACATCCACTGATATTTTTTCAGCTTTGCTCCTCCATGGATCAAAAATGAGACTCATACTATCGGGTGGTTGTATACGAATTTAGCTGATCATTGGAGGAAATGGTTGCCATCTACATCGGGAAACACTCTTTTACATGGAGCATTTTATTCTGTATTGTTAAGACCTGGATTTAGATTGATTTCTCTAAATACAAACTACTGTCACTCATTGAACTGGTAAGTAAAATATTGTTAAAGATAGTGAGTGCTTATGACACACAGGTCACACAAGTGTCAATCCAAAATAAATCAGGATAACACAGGATAACAGAGGACGCCTTGGAGTAGTTTTTCGTAAAGCAATAGCGTATGGTATAAAGAACATTCAGGCAAGTACCAGGACTCACAATATACATCAGTATCCAACCTTAACCAAGCTGAAAAAAAAGACGATGTATCAACTCCCTTCTACGCAAGTTGTAATGTAACACAACTAGTATAGGAACTACTGCAACTATAGTACTGGAAATTTATAATGTATTATTCAAACTTGGTGTTACAGTTCACTTTCATCCTTTTGATAAATAGTTAATAATTTTTTATTTTATTTTTTATTTTTACTTTTTTTTGTCTTGGCCTTTAATAATGATGTTAAAAATTATTTGCTGTAACAAAATAAAATAATTATATTTTTTAGGTGGCTTCTTGTAAATAGTACTGATCCTGCAGATGAGTTAAAATGGCTAGTACATGAGCTTGAAAATGCTGAAATAAATAACGAAAAAGTGCACATAATAGGTAAAAACTTAACTATAACCATCTTGGTCGTCTGAATGTAAATACAATCTTTTACATTAAGGTGTTCAATCAATTATTTCATAAGTTTCTTCCATTTATTCCTATTTTTGCCATTTATTTTTGGCGTCTTTTCATATAACACCATTTTTTTTAGATCTTCTCATTTATTTTTCACACTGATTTTACTTTTCAAATCTTTTGCAATTGTCTTTCCTCATACATCCTCAGTAAATGCCCAAATCATCCCAATCTTTTATTTTCAGTCTAGTTCTAGATCTCAGTCTTAAATTAATTATTTATTTACATTTTTTAAGCCTTCCGACTCCAAGCACTTTCCTATAGAATCATTTCGACTGCTTGTCTCTTGTCCCGTTTTTCTGTAAAGACCCACTTTTTCCTTGCAATTCCTTTGGAAAGGAGAATATTTCCCTTGCTTCATTCGTGTCTCTCTCTCTCTAGAATAAGGTCACTGTATACATTTTTCTACGTGCTACCGGGGAACTAGCGAGTCTGATACCATGCTGAAATTGGGGTGGTTATTCATTTTACCAAATATCGCGTTTTGTCCTATCACAGTTCTTCCTTGCATTGCCTACCCATCGTCAGGAATCTGTAGGAGACCATTTTGGTCTCCCTTTTCGGCAAAATGTGAAGAGGCTTTTGATCTAGCATCTAGCATAGTTTATACCCTGTCGAGGGAAATCGTCTAACAGATTAGCCACCAGAATGATCCACAGTCGGAGTGAAAGTACTCCGCCTCTGGACACACCTTCTGGTAGGCCTGATAGCTGAAAGTAACTCTCTCTCTCTCTCTCCCTGCAGTGATGAAATTATGTTTAGATTTCCAAGGATACTTTTGATCGAGTTGCAGGTCAGTTTGTCAATTCTTCTTTTTTTAATGGAAGAGAATATAGACTGAGGAAAAGCGTAGGAAAGCACCCAGTACAATATCTGCCTGCTTTAGGGAATTACCGATTTTGTCCTCTAGATTCTGCAAGGCATGATTTGTCGATCGAATGGTACGAATTTAACGGAATTTAAAATTTACTTTGTTTTCTATATATATTTGCTGCCCTTTTTTTATAAGTACTTCATCTTTATTTCTCCCTGATATTTATAAACAGTTCTATATTATCATATTAATATCCGTACATTTCTTTTTATCTATATATAAAAAAAAACTGATAAAGTTTGATTTGCAGGGCATATTCCACCAGGTAGCTCAGACTGTTTGAAGACGTGGTCGAGAAATTTTTACTCTATAGTGGATCGGTTCCAGCATACAATAACCGCTCAATTCTACGGCCACACTCACGCTGACGAGTTCGAATTGTTCTACGAAACCAACAATTACAGTAAGAAATCCAAACGAAAACGGTGGTGGCAAGCTCTCAAAAATAAAGATAAGTCATTGTTAACATTTACAGGTCGGCCGATTAACGTAGCTTATCTTGGCCCTTCGATTACTACATATGAAAATAATAATCCAGCGTTTAGGATTTATTACGTAGAAGGTGATCATGAACGGTCTACAAGGGTATGTATGCTTTCATTACAAACGCCAGGTATTCTAATTTCTATGTTTCATGCACTTTTTATTGAACCATATTTGCATTTTATTAATTTTAGACGAAGCAGAGGCTATCTCTATCAGAATTACGGTGTGATTTAAAGTACTTACTGGTGCTCTTAATCTTATTGCATCCCAACATGTAGTTTCGTATATTGTATCATTCCTGTTCCCATTTAAGATCCTACGACCGCAATAACCCATGAAAAGTATATTATGCCCTGAATTTCTTTCTGCTAGGAGTTAGCAATCGTTTTGTCTTCTATTGTATGGCACCTTTATGAATATATTGAACTCAGTCCAATAAGTTTCTCTCATGTCCCGACACCCACTCAAGAATAACCTTCTTCTGCCAGAGCCTTGAAAGATTGTATGCAGTGCTTGAAGGGCTGACCTGCTGGTGTCACAATACAAGCTTTCTTTTATGGTTGTGTCACCAAGTATCAGTAGAAAAGCTGTTGATACTAGTACGTATAAATGTAAATCAAACGCATAGGTCGAAGCGATAGTCGCGATTGTTTGAAGACTAAATTTGTCTGAATCATCATAGCTATATATATTTTTCTTACCTCGAAAAAATGCTCGTATTGTAAATTGTTTATACCAAATACCATACGATTTATATAACTATAATTTTGGATAAAAATTCAGGCTGTCATAGACCACGAAACTTGGACAACAAACTTGGACTTAGCAAATGAAGGAGACAATGAACCAATTTGGTATAAGCTTTACACAGCAAAAGATGCCTACAGATTGTCATCTCTACATCCCGAAGAGTGGAATAGGCTTATAAAAAACATGGCTGATGATCCAGACTTATTTAATTTATTTTATAGGTAAGTTAACATAAATACAAGCACATGAGTGGTGCGGGAGTGTATTGATAAAATACACCTACGTGGTTTCGACCAGCCCACCCAGAATTTTATGAGATAATATCAGCCTCACAAAAAAAGCAATATTGAATGTATCCCACAAAAAAAAGGCGGAAAGCAAATCGCAGACATGTGTTTCTGACTTGTTCTTTATCCGTACGGTGCAGCCAAGTTCAAAAGAGCATGGGCCTTGCGATGAAATAAAAATATACAGTAGCAGATCAGAGATCACTCAAGGGACCAACCACATATTTGAGGCTTCTGCCAACACACTGCATTTTATGGAATAATACCACAGTGGCAATTATAGCAACCAAGATGATGTGACCTATCCCAAAGATTTTTTGTTTGGAGACCTCCGCACTAAACTTTCTTCCTTCTAGGACACATCACCTTGGTGGATATAACTGACTCCGTGGTGACACTATATGGTATATTTTTCCATAAAATGCTGGTTGTGTTGAGTGAAGCCTCAAATCTGCCGTTAGCCCCTTGAGTAATCTATTGTTCGATTTGATTTCATCGCAAGTTTCATGCTCGTTTCAAATTAGCTGCACCGTACTAATAAAGACCACCAATCCGAAACCCGTGTATGCGATTTGTTTTTCGCATTTGTTTTGTTTTCAAGATGTAAGCAATATTTATTTTTTTTTGTTTTCTATTTTCAACTGTGTTCATGAGTATTTCTAACTTTCGTTAAATTTTTTTCAGGAATTATTACAGGGACAGTTCCCATCGACCATATTGCGATGCACAATGTCGAATTCAAATATTGTGCGACTTAAAGACGGGTAAATCCCAAGACAGACTACATTTATGTAACGAATTACAGTACGCTTAATTCTTGTTTTTGAATCGACTTTCCTACCAAAGAATACTGTTTTCTTATTTAGGAAAATTCGTGGTTATTTTGAATTTTATTTGATAATTTTTTATAAACTTTCAATCGATTATTTCAAATGCTATGTTTAAACAAAAATACTTAAATAAATTCAAAACAAGTCGATTTTGTTGAACAAAAACCTTAGTAAATAAATATTTAAAAAATATTTTTTTGTTTTTTAATGACACACATATATTAACTACTCAGAATTAAAAAATGTATTCTGCGCAAATGTCTGAAAAATAATATTTCAAAATTCCTTTGATGTTGATAAAAATCTTGTTCAGTTCATACAAAAATCACAAAGTACTCATTTTGTGTGGGATGAAACTCAATAGGAAATAAAATATAAATCTGGAACTTTCAGTAGATACGTATGTACCTAGTTAGGTAATACCTATTAATATTTTTTATTCCAAGCACGCTACTGAAGCACTGGAAAATTAAATTGGCTTGGCTATGCAAAAATTACCGGCGGGATATTATGGATGTGAGTACGTTGGTACATACCTCGTGCAACCTCCCTATTTATTTAATTTATAAAAAAACGACCCATAGTTTATAAAAATCTAATATTAAAATTAGTTGGATAGAAAATGGCGGCTTATAATTAGGCATTCCAAACAAATGAATTACCAGTGGGCAGGTTTGGTATATCTAAGGGTGGCGACATATAGTGTATTCTATCTACTTTACGTAAAATCATGAATAATGGATTACATTTAAATATTTTATGTCAAACACAATAAAAATAATATTTAAAAAACCCACCTATACATTTCTTCATAAATTGGCAGGCTTGGCGAGTACTACTTCGAATAAAAATAGCGTCCAAGTTGCAAGACTATGTCGCTACCCCCTTAAATATACAAGAATTTCCCACTGGCACCTATTGTTTGACAGGTCGTTGGAATGCCTAATACCACAAAGCACATAGAGGTTCCACGTGAATGACCAAGGTCAAAACCGACAACTGACATTTTGTATGCTATTTGCTCCAAACTCTAGATGGGGCTACTGGTAAATTTCTTTTTCTTACTCCATTTTTAAGCTTTATGGGAGAAAAACTTAACCAAAGACTCCAAAGATGTTAGGTGTATTTATTTATGTTTTTGGTTAATCTCATTTTTCCGTCTGATTTTAGTGATTTTTTGTTGGCTTTAGCTTTTGGTTTCTGTTTATAGTTTCGTCTTATAGTTATTTGCAAAATTGTGATGTTTTGCTTTTCTATTTCGTACTGTGTTTTGCAATAATTTTGGTGCTACCTGTGGGTGCTACGTTGAAAACTTCGAGAAAAACTTCATTGATTCACCATGCATCTGCATCATAAAAAGACAAACGGGTATAACAACTAATTGATAATTAATTTATCACTGGACTAGATTCCGAAATCATTTTTCACATAAGAGAGTAATACACAAAGCAGCGGAGTAATACCACCATCTGTATTTGGAAGGAAAATACCTATTTATCATTGAATGAATAGTTAAAAGGATTCACCTTTTAATACAATACCTATATTACATTTGTCCTCGGTTTAAAAGACATTTATAAAATATATTATTATTTTAGTGTTAATAAAATGTAATATCCTAGTCTCTACTTTACATTTAAATTATTGATAGGTATTTTAAAGATTTGAGATTGTATACCTATTTGCTGCAAGTAAGTATTCGTTAAATATGTATTATTATTTGTATTTATTTTTATCTAATAATATTTATTTAAGTTATTAATAAACATATTTTAAGAATGTTCTATTTTATTATTTATTGATATATCTTATATTTATTTAATAATAATATGCAGAACCAACTCTCCACATCAAACCCCTGCTTATAACAAATTAATTCCTCAAATTTGGTATAATCGACCTAAATTATTTTGTAAAATAAAAGTTTCGAACTTACTAGTTCCATTCTTTATTTTATAAAATAATTTATGTGGAAATCATTTAAAATTTAATTTAAAACTACTACCTACTCCTAAAAATTACAATTTGAATTTACCGCCATCTGTCAATTGTCATTTTAGTTCCAGCTCCAAACACAAGGTGGCGCTAATTTGGTTTAAAAGTTTAACATTGGCGTGGGGTCTCTAGAAGATACGTGCTTTGTGCCTAATACTCTTCAATACTCGAATCATAAAATTCGACCATGAATAGGATAGACAGGTTATTGCACAAAACATTGGACGCATGATAATAAAGTCCACAATAACTTGTAAACAAACAGTACAAGCGTTACACGTTGCCACAGTGTCTCTTTCAGTTAAATTTATAGGGTTAATACTGATTCGTTCGCAAAGATACAAAGTTCAAGAGACAAGGGTCTATTCTGTAACATCCGTTAAAATTTAGAGGCTTTTGGGGTCTATTCTGTAAAAATTCCTTTATATGTATTTAACGGCCTTTAAAAATATTTTCTTCTTTAATTCGGTCACTATTTAAACGGATCTTTAAAATACATTAGATGACTATCTTAAAGAAATCTGTTTAAATAATGATAGAAGTAAATTAACGAATACGAACATATTTTTATAGGCCGCCAATATTTTTAAAGGCCGTTAAATATAAAGGAATTGTTACAGAATAGACCCCATTTGAGGACTATTTTAAAGGAATCCGTTTAAATAATGACAGAAGTAAGTTAGTGAATACCAAAATATTTTTAAAGGCCGCCAATATTTTAACGGGCGTTAAAATATAAAGGAAGTGTTACAGAATAGACCCCTAAGGGTGAGATTACAGAAAATGCACCACGTCTGCAACTTTGCAGATTTGCAAATATGGCGGACTTACAGATGCAAGGATCTATAAAGAGTCAAGTATCCTTGACTTGCATCTGTAAGTCCATCATATTTGCAGATCTGCAAAGTTGCAGACGTGGTGCATTTTCTGTAATCTCACTCTAAATACCTACTTGACTCAGTTTATTCAAGAACTGGATCATTTTCATAATATTTCTCATGGAATTTTTTTTCTGCCATGAATTTGTTTTTAAGATTTTATTTATTGTGATATCTATATCGGTTTAATTGGCAAACCTGTTTGTTTGTTTTTAAAAGAGTTGATTGGCATTTTATTTTAGTGGTACCTATTTCTAAGATTTATTTGTTTAAATACAAGAAATTATTCATAAAAGTAAATGAACATTGCAAAATGGTACAGAACTGCATGGTTTGCCAAACATCTTATAGAGAAAGTAAAAGTTGAAAAGTCTTTTGGTAGGTAGAGAGGGGGTAAACGTCAAACCACTTCGGGCGGCTCCGAGAATTTCAGAGTAATGTTTACCTGCCAGTGTCGTTTCATATAGAATAAGAAATTTTAAATTGTTATCGGCGGAACTGGACAATCGCATGTATTTATGGATTATAAATAATAATATTCAAATTATAATTTTACAACATTTCAACAGCTATTCATAATTTATTAAACTATTTACTCGAAATTGTTATTAACATCTATAAAATAATTTTGTACGCCAATGTATCGCGTCCACTTCGGTGAGATCCGCTGCCAACCGGTCAATTTATGTGTATAAAGTGGGAGAACTGGCAAAAGCATTTCCAACTTTTACTTCTGTTCTAAGAAGAAAACCAATGCTGACTCTTTCCATTTCAAAAAAGTATGTGCCTATACCTACACGCCATTATGTATTAACTTTGAAAATTTGCTTATTTTTGTTTTAATATCAAGTAATTTTAAAATGAGAGGATTCTTTAAATATATTTACCTTCTCGTTGCACAAATTTAAAGCTCCAATATTCTCAGTTAGATTTCATCATGTAGAAAATCATGATCGAAGATACATAACTGACGTTTTGGGGAATTTTATTTTTCAAATTGGTAACACTAGAAAATTTAAATTTCAAAACTAAAATCTAGTTGCTTGGTGCGGCTTGGTGGCGTCAAAAATTAATTTTTAATTTAATGTGTTATTTATTTCCAGAAAATTAGTAAGAATGTACAAAATAGTGTATGAAAACTTACTGCAAGGTAATGGTTGTGTTAATAAACCTAAGTACACGTACAAGTAGTTTGTTTTTATGATTTTTTTTCAGTATCTTTTGGAAGAGAAAAGTGTGGGAATAAGATAGACTGGAACTGCATCTTGACAAAAGTATGTATCTACTTCAATTTTCCTTCGCTTCTGATTTAAAAATCTAGCGTACTTACCTAGTTTCCCTTGCAAAATAATGTACCTACATATAATATTTTATGTTCTAGCTTTCTTTTCCATAGATAAAACTTGCTTTTAAAATTTCAAAAGTTAGGTATTATTATTGTAGTATCAGGTTAGGACTTTAATTAACTACCTATATATAGGTACGTATGGTGGTATTTAGATAATTTTAAGGGAGTTTTTTTATATTTATGTATTTCAATGTCACATTGGAAGTTATTTTTTATTTTTGACACTTTTATCAATGCTCTCTTTTAATACTGTTTAATCACTAACCAAAAAAAAGATTCCAAATTATTCAGATGCATAGAAGAGCATTTTAACACTTTTCGTTCGGCTTGTTCTTTCTTATAAAATAGGCATTTAATAATAATATAATTTACAATAAAGAAAAGTAGGTATAGAGATTAACTAACATTTTTTGTAAATATATTACAAAATGCACCTAAAGGTACCAGTAGGTAGATACTGGTTTCGATCAAAGTAAATTATGAAAAATTTAGATCATAATCTTATTTGTGTCTTGTATGCACTTATGTTCGTGGTAGTAAAAGTAAACCCCGAGGAAAAAGGAAAGACTAGCTTAGACAGCGAACGAAGGCAGAGGGGCTACGACGCCAATCGAAGTAAAACAGTGTTGCCAGGTTATTTTAAAAGAATATAATACACTGAAATCAGAAGTTCTCTTGAAACAGATTTTTACTAAAATTTAAATAATAATGGTTACTTTTGTACTCGATGTCATTCAGTATGAGCTTTGTAACGAAAAATATGGCTGCGGCTCATTAAAATTCTCGTTGTTTATTAGGTAATCTGTCATTTAATGATCTATTTTTGAATATAAAAAATTTGCTAAAATTACTACTATATGAATAG